GCCCAGGCTGGAGTGCAGTGGCATGTACTTGGCTCACTGCAACCTCCACCTCCCATATTCAAGGGATCCTCCTGCCTCAGCCCCCCTAGTAGCTGGGATTACAAGCACATGCCACCATGCCTGGCTAATTTTTGTATTTTTAGTAGAGATGGGGTTTCACCATGTTGGCCAGGCTGGTCTCAAACTCCTGACCTCAGGTGATCCATCCTCCTCTGCTTCCCAAAGTGCTGGGATTACAGGGGTGAGCCACAGTGGCCGGCCCATGCCCAGCTAATTTTTGTATTTTTAGTAGAGACGGGGTTTCACCATGTTGGTCAGGCTGGTCTCAAACTCCTGACCTCAAATGATCCCACCTGCCTCAGCCTCCCAAAGTACTGGGATTGCTGGCATGAGCCACTGCACTTGGCCCAAAAACACGTTTCTAACATCAACCTAAAAATCATCAAAAGGTTCGCGATCCAGTTAAAAGAATTTATTCAAGCATAAAATGTGAGAGCGGCCATCCAGGTAAACACAGACACCCAGCAGCGGCAATTAGTGCTCCCCAATGTGGGGAAAGCTGAAGATTGTTTATATAGGCAAAAATAAGGGTGCTGAAATTACAACATTTTCCAAAAAAAAGGCTAACATTAATACAAGATTTGACTGGCTACTATTGATTATACTTGAAGGATTTTGCTTAACATTCTATTGTAAAGAGACAACAATCACAAAGGTCTCTATCTCCCCCGTCATCTAGTCTAAGTTTGAATGAAGAATAGGGAGTCTGATTAATGTATAACATTTCAACACAAAGGTCAGGAAGCAACAGTCATGCATCAGAGAAGAAAAAAAGAAAAGGCTATGCCTGCTCAGTTTCCAGGACTTAACTTTTCTTCTTCACATTATAAATTTAGCATGTCCTGAAATTTCGTTTTCTTTTCACACTCCCTACCTGCTCCCTTTGGCAGTTGCTACATCTCTCCACAGTTCTCTAAACTATGCTGTGCTCTTGTCATGAACTTTTCCCCTCCCCCGGCCCCCACTTCCAGCTCTCTCACTGGATCGATCTCTTTCTCTCTCTCTCTCTCTCTCTCTCTCTCTCACTCTCTCTTTCTGTCTTGACAGGGTCTCATTCTGCCACCCAGGTTGGAGTGCAGTGGTGCAATCTCGGGTCACTGCAACCTCCACCTCCCAGGCTCAAGTGATCCTCCCACCTCAGTCTCCAAAGTAGCTGGGACCACAGGCATGCACAACCATGCCCGGCTAATTTTTTGTAGAGACGTGGTTTTGCCATGTTGCCCAGGCTGGTCTCAAACTTTTGAGCTCAAGCTATCTGCCTGCCTCTGTCTCCCAAAGTGCTGGGAGTACAGGTGTGAACCACCACACCTGTCCTCCCTGGATTATTCCTTTTAAAATGAGACTTTGTGTTCCTGCTCCCAAATGATTTCCCACCACATCATCAAAGCAAAGGCATCCCCAGGTGGAATTGTCCTCTTTAATGTGGAGGAGGTTGTAACTACTGAAAAATTTATGGGTTTTCCTTGGTTATAGTCAGCTGTCTTCACCCATCCATGCATTTATTCCTTCCTCAGACATCATTCAAGACATTTCCTGAGTGCCTTCTGTGGGCCAATGCTGTAGCTGCTGGGAGAAGTAAAAAGTGGTACTTTTGGCCAGGCGAGGTGACTCTAGCCTGTAATCCCAGCACTTTGGGAGGCCAAAACGGGCGGATTACGAGGTCAGGAGTTCAAGACCAGACTGGCCAACAGGGTGAAACCCCATCTTTACTCAA